GCGCCGCTGCTGCCCACTGGCCTCCCCTCGCTCTGTCTGCTCATCCCACCCGCTCCCCCACTGCCTCGCCGCTTGCCGCCGCTCCTCTGGAGCACACCAGCCCAGAGCAGCCTTCTCTGGACACTGGCTCTTGGCTCCTTCAGGTGGCAAGTGGAGGCCAGCCCTGCTGGGGGAACGGCAGAAAAAAAAAGCTGTTTGCTGAGGGGGAGACGCTGCTGTGCCCCCCGGAGCCTCCTGGGGAAGCTCTGCTACCCAGGCACGTGTTCTTGCTCACGTGTCTGTTTTCTGCTGCGCTTCCTGGGGCTGCTGGCTCTGCTCCTACCTCACTGGAGCAGAGGACGGTAGGCAGCACTTGCCTTCAGCTCTAGACCCTTCCTGAGCACTTCGGAACCTAGTAGGAAGGAAGATGGACTGTATCCAGTGCAGATGGAGGCCAAATATTTTCACACACTGGAAAGCTGTGCAAAGACTAGATGTGTTCCCTTGGGGACTGTAAGACCAGCCTGGGGTTGAAAGAAGCCAGCAGCATTTTGGAAGCATCTTGTGAGCCACAGCGGCCTTGCTGGAGTTTGCGAGTGCCTTGGGCCTCACAGGTGAGAAAGGGCTGGGCCCAGCGGGGGGCTGGGGCCTGAAGAGGACAGTCTTGCTGGTAGCAGAGCCTGTGTGCTGGTCTGCAGCATGTGGGCATGCCACCAGTCAGGACTGTGGGTGGGCTCAGTTGTCCCTAGCCCCACTCTCCATGCCAACCAGCCCTTCTCTTTCTCTCGTGTGGTTTTCCCAGGGTGAGGTATTTGTTTCAGAGCAGGGTTTCTGAAGTTCCCCTTGCGATAACAGTGCATCTCAAAGACTTCCACGTAGAAATCCACTGTGCCTCGGAACATCCCATTCCCTGGAACAGAAGAGGCATGGTGCACTTCTGCAGGGGCAGCTGATGGTCTTGCCTGTCCCTTCCTTGCTTACCTTCCCCATGGCACAGTACTCTGGCTGTGAGGGACTAAGGGTCTTGGTCTTACCGTGCTGGGAAGGTGTGCTGGAAGGGGAGCTGGAGGGGATGTGCGACGTGAAGATGGAAGAGGCAGAGGCACCCTCATAGCCAAGGAAGGTTTGCCTCGTTACGGGCTTACATCTCTCAAGGCCCAGTGTTAAGTAATGCCAATATGAAGCTATTTATAACTGGGCAAGAAACACCACCAAGATTCCTAATGCTGCCTGTGTCCTTGTGCCCCTGGCCTTGGGCCCAGGCGTGCAAACACAGCGTGCTTGGCAGTGTTGGCAGAGCTCTCCTCAGGGCTGTGCAGGCCTAGGTTTGAGCGGGTGCCCTCTGTGGGGTCTCCATCCCTGCCTCTGGCCTGGACACCGCAGGCAATACGAGCATCACTGTGCACTCGCCTCTCTCGAAGCACCAGGAAAATGACTGCTGGAAAGGGCAGTGCTGAGGTGCAGGGCCTTTTCTCCAGGCTTCTGGGAGGGAAGGGCAAACAATGGAGCTCCGGAGCCTGGGAAGAACGGCCGGATATGCTGGGCCTGCTGGAGCTGGGTGCGGGCTGGGAAAGCCAGAGCTGGCTTGTGGTGTTTATATTGGAGCTGCTTGAAAGCATTCCTCGAAGGAACTGTCTCAGAGGGCTTGGCAGGGTCTCTGTTGCTGGTGGCTGAAGAGCACGGCTGAGAGGCTGTGTTGGGACGTTTCTCCACCATTTGCCTTACTTTCTGTCAGGGCTTTCACTGCTTAGAAGGCCAAGGCTGAAGCTTTTCCCATGCTGACAAGTCAGGAAGTTCCTCTTTTCCTCTGCTTGGCCTTTTCAGCAGCCTGGGGATGGGATTGAGGGACGCTCTATCCACATGTGGCTCCAAGAGACCAGTCATGGCAGAGGAAATGGTCCTTTCAAAAAAACCTTGTCTTCTTTGTTGTGGTGCCTCTCTCCTCTGATCTCCAGCAGGCAGGGAGGCTGGACACGACACGTGCCCAGGGTGAGACTGACAGGCAAAGTGCAACATGGCACACATTTAGAGCTTTCACTTCTCCATCGTGTTCACTGACACACTTCCTGGTCGGGGGAAGCGTGCTGGTGCTGGCCAGGCTGGAGCTTGGCTTCCTCTGCTTTCACTGACACTAGAGCAGCACAGCTCCTCTCTCTGCTCTTGGCCCTGTGACACCTTCCTGGGTATCCTGGCAGAGCCATGGAAGGGCTCTCAGAGCGCAGATCGGCGATAGCTGCAGCCTGACAGCAGGTTGTTCTGACACTGCAGAATGTGCCTTTGGGACTGGGATGTTGCAGTGAGCAAGTTGGGTTGTGGTGGATCCCGAGTACCACCACGGGTCAGAGAATGCTTTCAGTAAAGAAAGGATTTCACAGCCATGAGAGCGGAGCAGGGCCAGTAGGTTTGGCCGTGGGAGCCAGGTCTGAGGGCATCTGGACTGGACTGGGAGGATGCTCTACACAGAGGCTTGGTGAGCTGTGTGGGAGTGTAATACATGTTCTCTGAGCTGAGGACATACACCTCCCATAGACTTCACAGGTTTTTCTGCAAAATAAGTATGCATTTAGAAAGTTAGATCAAAAAAAAAAAAATTGTGTGATTTGAAGGGACTGTCATCATAGCTTGACAATCTGAAGGCAGACCCTTGGCACCATTTTTGAACTCGTTGCTTGAGTGGTCTAGAAGAGCTTACTGGTCTTCAGCTGGTTGTTCTGGGTGCCATGCTAGCTAATTAACCTTGGGGAACGTAGGTTGTTTCCTTTCTCAGTGCTGCTGATACCAGACAGGTTATACTATGATGAGCTTGTTCCATCTCATTTTTCTGCTGTTCATGACACAGAAATTAATTGTGTATGGAACTATGTGTTTGTGTTTTGGGAAGGGAGATCTCCAGGAAAAAAAAAAATGAGAAGCTGATATAACTGGTTGGTGCAATCTCTAGGCACTTTGAGATTAACAATCTGGTATTTGGGTAGAAGTAGAGGATACTTCAGTTAGTATAATTCTTAAATAATCCCCTGTATTTGTGTCTTTCTTCCTTTAGGGAGACTCCTACGCAGTGGCAGCCTCTGCCAGGCACAAAAGCAGCTATGCTGGTCAAAGTGAACAGTTTGAGGCAGCTACAGAGCTCTTCAAACAGTTTGGTTCAGATGCAGAGTGCTCCAGAGGCCAACAGCCAAAAGCCTCTTCCAAAACCAGCTGTTTATGCTCTGCCTCAGTCCATGTCCCAGAGCCCTGGAGCCACAAAGAAAATCCCTGCCGGAGAAGCAAAGCAGTCCATGCAGATCAAAAAGACAGAGAATGGTGGCTTTTGCCTAGTGCTGATGAACGGTCCTACTTCTCAAACACCTCCAAGCAGCCAGACAGGAACCCCCCAGCCTGCATCCCCCAAGTATGCCTCCCCTGCACCTATATATGATGAGCCATCTTTGGAGTCTCCAATTTACGATGAGCCACCAGTAGATATGGACACTGAAAGTGCCAGTGTGACTGCGATGGCTCCCCCAAGGTCGCCAAGCAATAGCTTAAAAAAGCAGCTGCAGCCAACCAAATTATTACAACATCCAGGTATGCAACAGCAGCAAGCTACAAAGAAGCATGCAAGAAAACCCTCTTCCACTGAATACAGCCCAGCTGGCAGAGAATATATAAAACACATGGTCAACGTTGACCAGTCCTGCAAACTCTCTCACTCTTCTGCTGCAACAGCTGATGCCTCTACTAAACTGCCTGGTCAGCTTACCTCAAAGGACAGCTTCAAGCAGTCTTGGAAGATTGTAGAAGCCAGTGTCCTCAAGAACATGGAAGCCCACCACAGTCGCCAGAACAGCCTGCAAACTCAAGAGTACCCAACTGGTATAAGCCATCAGGATTCTGGTTATTCAACTGGTCCTTCTCCAAGCTTGAGAAAAAGGAAAGGAAGGAGACAAGGGACAGGTCAGGGAAGACCTGGCTCTGTGGGCAGTAGCAGCGAGCTCACAGCTTTGAATGACAAGCTGATTGCTGAGATGCGTGCTGTGGTGGGCAGGTCAGCAGCTTGCAGGGGAAGTAAAGCCAGCCTCGATGTTGAAAGTCTGGACAGCAGTATCCCATCAGAGAGCAGCAAAGTCAGATTTCAGTCTGACCACTTGAGAAAATGCATCAGCCAGAGCTCAAGAGATGACATCTCGGCCAGTAATAGATCTCTCTATAGACAGGGCCTGGAGAGCAGGGACAGCTTTCCTGATGGTGTGGCTGCTCCACAGGACACGGTGAGGCAGAAGAGGACTTTTGAGAAAGTAGACTCTTTAGAAAAGAATGTGACCAGCCAGACAAGTTTGGCTTCATCAGATGCTACACGGCACTCCTCCCAGGTACCTCTCCATCTTCACCAAGTGAAATAGCACTCCTATGCTGGACAGTCGTGCAGAGCCAAGGACCTGGTCTGCCCCTGGGTGGGTTTAGTGGGTGTGCTGCAGGTGGAACCTGTTTGCATGTGGGGAATAGGAAACATATCTCAAAGCTTCGCAGCTTGGTCGGTGGGGACTCCATTTCAGGCCGGTGGTGTGAGAGGAGGGGGAGTTGTGCAGAGGCTTCTGTCCAGCAAGCCCTCAGCACTGCAGGGTTAGTTCTGCTCTGTTACTTGTGTGAAGCTACTGCCAGATCATTCTACTGACACGTACGTGTCTTCTTTGGTAGCCTTTGTCTTCACGTGTCCTGCCTGTGCTGACATGGCCAGAGGTGAGGTGTGGGATGCAGATGGCAGGATTTGCATGGCCACGTAGCAGCATTTTCCCTTTTTTTTTTTTTTCTCTCCCTTTCTAATAGTTCCTCATATTCTGTTCTCCTCTCCAGTTGTTCCTGAGCATTGAATGGAAATGTTCAGAAAAGCAGTAACAGTGGCGGCTTCTTCCTGGCAGCAGCTGTGTTAATGCCTGTTAGTGTGCCTGCACAGTGGAGTAGTTTTTTTCTATAGTGCAGTACTTCTGCAGAATTGAGTTTGCCATCTTTGCTCCTGTTTGAGTTTGAAGGAACTTTCTGTTCCATGGGTTTAGTTCAGATTTAGGTTCTACATAGGTAACTTTTTATCCTGTGAAGGTTTTGTCCTTTTTCTCTTTGCTCTTCCAGTTGTTTTACTCCTGCTTAACAGCTGAGTCTCTGCATCTCCTCTGCAAGGCACAGCTGATAATAATCCTCCAGCATGAAAAGCGACTGTTTAACCCTTTGTTCTGTCTTTTATCCTGTTTGCTAATCCACGACCTTTCATGAATAAACTTGGCAAAGCTTCTTGACCATTTCAGATTGCTCCAGTACAGTAGACCTGTGAGGTGTAACTTCTCTTGAAAAGCCAGGCTGACACCTCCCTGCTGTATCAGATTTGTGTGTGTGCTTTCTCCTCTTTATTGTGATTTCTGATCGATTGTGCCGTGCTTTCACCTGAAACCCTTTTTAAAACCCACGTCATGTTCCCCTATTTTCCATTTTTCAGGCACAGGGCCAGTTTGAGTCTACACGGCTCTCATGTTGCAGTTCATAGTTTAGCAGTGTCATCTCACAGCCTCTTTAGGCTTGCTAGAAAACCACTGTCTGCTCTCCAGGATGTGTTACACCTCATTGCATTGACAGGGAGAGCTGAGACTCGGTGTCCTGATTATGCACAAGAGATGGTGGGTTTGGCTTAGGCTGAGAATGACCTTGAAAATGAAGGAAAAATAATTAATGTGTGGTAGGATGTAAAAGGAGAATACAGTGGAAGATGTAAGGAGATGGATGTTGTGGTAAAGGCAACAGGTCAATAAATAAATACTGTGTTTACAGAAGTACTTTGAGATGTAAGAGACCAAGTAAGGAGGGGAGGAGACTGCAGAGGATAGAGCAGCAAAATGGCTACCTTGCCTGAAAATGGCAGTGTGTGGCTTGAGTCACTAGTGATGCCCTGTGCTGGGCATGCATGGTGGAGAGGAGAACTGGGAGACGGGGAAATTCATTATCCGAGGGGGATGGGCAGATGTTCTAGGACAGGCTGAGCAGAGCTGGATGTGTGCCATCAGCACAAACGTGATAGCTGAGAGAGAAACTCCAGAGAGAGGAGACAACCAAGAGCCTGTTGAACCTCTAGATGGCATGAGGAGGTGGATCCTCACAAGTAACGTGCTGAAGGAGCAATTGGGGTGGTAGGAGAAAGAAACCAACTCCAGGCATAGAAGGTGGATTGAAGGAGACTGAGGATGGAGATGACAGAGAACTGCAGGCAGGAATTTTCAGTCAGTGTGTTGAGTGAATTCAGAGAGTGAGGAGGTAGAGGGGTAACTCGGGTTTAAAAACCAAAATGAAGTAGGAGAACAGGAGAAATGATTGTGCCCCATCATCCACGTGTAGGTACATGTTGGGTGTATGATTGGGAAGGGTTGGACTGCACAAGTCTCTCTTGTGAGTTCAGCAGTTCCTCCTTACTAAGAATAAAACACTGACTTGCTCTAAACTTCGAAGAACTAACGTGTATTTTGGGGTTAACTGTAGGCCAGGACCAGAACAGAGTGTGGTATGTAAGTTAAAGTTGACCTGCAAAGAAGGAAAATGAATGGTTTATTTGAATTTTTCTAATGCAAAACCAAAATTTACAGTGTTTCTGTTTCTTTGTCTTCCTTTAAAAAACCAAACCCTCAAGATTGTCTTGTTTGGCATTTTCCTACTTACTGGAGATCTCCTTGGAGAACGCAGAGCGAAGTGTGGGCTGTTTAGCTATTAGTTTCTCTATGTGAGAATTTCAAGTCTAACAGATCCTAAAACAACTTGTTGAGTGTTTGAGTGCAATATGTGTTGCAGGTTGCCACCTCCATTCAAAACAGAATTCTGGATGGGCAAAGTAAGTGTCTTAGGCTCACAAGTAGTTATTACAAATAATTTTCTTGGGATTAGTGCTACCAAACCTCTAATTATTATCCACAGCTGTCACTGAGGAGGCAGGGTGGACAAGGGCTGCGTGTGAAAATGGCACACAGAGTCTGGAAGGAGGAAGATCTTTGTCTTTACTGTTTATCTCTATAGACTTGTGATCAGTGGACTTGTGCCTGGAGCAAACGAGTTTGGTGACTGCAGGCTGTCCATGGGCAGCAGCTCTCCCTAGTTCTCTGAGAAGAAAAAATGTCCCAGTACTTGTGAATAGTTCTGATTTAATTTGGGGAAGGTTACGCCTGTCTTGATAGGGAGCCCGTTGCAGAGGTGTCCCCGAGTGCTTTGCAGTTGTACTTGCAGAAGCACTGGATCTGTAGCCCCTGCCTGTACCCACCTGTCTGCAGCCACCCATGCGAGTGCTGTGGCTGTCCAGGCTCTGCCCCATGCACCTCCTGGGCTCCTGTGGCTCCACAGCAACTGTGAGGAGTGGGGAGGAACTGGCTCCTTGGTGTGTCCTTGGTGCCACAGACCTGTCCTGTTGCTCTGGGAGTCAGCCCAGCTCCTGCTTAGTCTGTCCCACAGAGCTCTGGGCCAGCTCGGACGTGTCCCAGAGCTTCCCCTGGGGACAGCATCAGTGTGCAGCTCTGCCAGCCGGGCTCCTGCAGAGGTGTCAGCCACCAGTTCTGCACAAAACCCCGTTACGTTCAGGTTCACCACTTCGCAGTTGCTGGTAGCTTCCTGACTCGCTGTTGATCTTCCCGACAGGGGAAGGAGTCACCTGAGATTCTTTTAACACACCTGTTCTCTGTTGCAGCCCGGGACAATAGAGTTGGACCGCAAGCAGGAGGGCGGTGGCCAGCCTGGCAGCTGTGTGGGATATCATTTCCCTTACAACACCCTACGGAAGCCCATCTCTCAGAGCAGCATGGCAGACTGGGCTTCTAAAAACCTGAACATGCACACGCAGGGCATCTTCCGCCGGAGGATCTCCATCTCCAACATGCTCTCCTGGAACGGCGGCTCCATTAAAAAGCCCATGCTTATCACCAGCAACCGCACCATCAAAAAAGAGGCGTGTGAGATGTTCAAATTGGTGCAGAGCTACATGGGAGATCGTCAGACTCGGATGGACCGGAACCACGTGGCGCTGGTGACAGTCACCAAGTGCTGGAGCACGCAGGGCTTACGGGACGAGCTCTACATACAGCTGATCCGGCAGACGACAGACAATACGTGCTACCGGAGTCTGGCGTGGGGCTGGGAACTGATGGCCATCAGTCTGGCCTTCTTCTCCCCATCGCCCAAATTTCAGTCCTACCTGGAAGGTTACATTTATCGCCACCTCGACAGTGATGAGAACAGTAAGTACCTCATGCACACCCACTCTGTCCCAAGCGGCTTTCTCGTGGGCTGTGCCACTTACTCAGGGCTGCCTGGTTTTCAGGAAAACAGGTAGTCACGAGCCAGTGCCGTGGTTTCCATCAGTGAGAGCACCACGTGCTGGGCGAGATTGTCCTTCCTTGGCAGGATGAAGCTGCCACCAGCTCATCTCCCTGCAGTTCTCACTTGTGTCTGCAAAGAAACACCAGCCCTAGGCTATGCTCATCTTGCCTATCAGCACAGCAAGACCAGCACTGAAGAGAGCTGATGTGGGCCCTCTGAGGGCAGAGTTTCTTTGGGTTCTCTGAGTACACGATTTATTTAAGAGTCCCTCAAAGCAGGCGAAACTAAAAAAGATGATTGTTAATACAGAATTTTTTAAGGGAGCCCTGGGAAACATTATGCACAGGCCTAATTATGAAATAGTTTGGGATCCCAAAGGATGGTGACTTTTGTTGTCAATAGTACAATTTATCTGTTTTTCAGAGGCCTTGGGGACCGGCCCAGCATATATTCAGTTATTACCCAAATTTTAAATTGCAGTCGTTTTGTTTTATGGGTAGTTTTGTTTTTTTTTTTCACAAGACACAACAAGCCAAGTGCCGGTGTGGAGAGTATTTAGTGTCACTGTTTCAGCAGTGCTTGCTGCATCTTGTGCAGTCCCAGGTGAGAAACCTGAGTGCCTGTTTCTAGTCGGGGGTCCAAACGCAGGTCAGAGCCCCGCCAGATCTCCAGGACAGGCGCAGAAGTTCTGCCCCAGCACCTCTGCCCCTGCCAGGGAGTGTGGTGGTACTGCTGGGTCCTGGGGGCAGTAGTGATGCAATGCCTTTGCCTTCTGGTTTCATGTTTGCAGCCTTAATATGGGGTTCCTTCAGTGAAATGCTGGATGTGCAGCACTAGTTTAGGTTTTCATGAGGATCATATACCCTTATCACTTCTCCCCAAAACCATTCCCTCCAGCTGTGCTTGGCCCAGGAGCAAAAAAAAGTCAGCCTCCCAGCACCAGTGTCTAGGCAGCAAGGAGTAATCTCAACTGTGTGAGTGGGCTGTTCATTCTACTGGTGTTTAGTTCAGGCAGTATGGTTATTTAGGTATAAGGTTGCTGCCTGGAGCACCTTCTCAACTATTTGGCCATTCAGAGAAGCTGAGTGATGTTCTGGCCCCCTCACTCTGGTGCTTTTGGAGCTGGCTGTGATACAGGACCTGTCCCCGAGCAGACCTCCTTGTGATGGATTTAGGCTGACTCCTGTGTTCTTTTGTTGACTGCTTGCCCAGCTAGGAAGGATATTGTCATTAACAGGCAACACATGAGCTGGATCCCTCCCTCTGGTCTTAGATCATGTGCAGGAGGTCCGAGGTGGCCCACTGCTGGAGGAATGAATAGATCAATATGTTCACTCATGACACATATAGTGAAGAAGGGAGCGAGCCAGTTCCAGAACCAGGCCATGGGGGAAGGAAGGACCCAGGTGATCAGTCCAATCCCACTCATATAGTAATTGCCAGGAAAAAGCCTCATAATCCTCTTTCTGTCCTTGGTCTTGTCCCACCGCTGCTGGGAACTCTGCTTGCTGTGAGCAGTCAGGGAACTCTCCTGATAACTGGAATCCCTGCACAGTACATCCACTGTATAGGCAAACTTTCCCCAACACCACTGCAAGCAGAGTCAGCTCTTCTGTGATTCACTTGGAGGCGGGACAAGATGTTCATGTGGAAGGTGGGGGCACCTGGTGGTGATCTCCTAATTGGTTCCCACCCAAGGCTGGCCAGGCCCTGGGTGAAAACCAGTCAGGAGGGGCTTTCTTGCCTGGTTGTGGACATCACGTGTGTGCCAACCCTCACCCAGGGCTGAGGGCTTAAACCCCAGCACTTCATATGTCGAAGGGCAGTTGTGGGCTTTGGTATTTTATCATTCCACATTGTAGATCCAGAACCTCTTTTGAATTTTCAGTTGCCCAGCGCATCAAGGAACTGGTGGATCTGAAAACCAAGAAGAACTCAAAATCCAGGAAAAAGAGGAAACAAAACACTGAGGATGAAGGTAAGGGGAGGCACAGCATGCAGGGAGACTGCGCTGAGCTGAGGCAGGCACGGGTCCTGAACTCTGCTGACAATCAGACCATTTCTTTAAGTGCGTGGACAGACTCGGGTAACTTTACTGCAGGTGGCCAGTGTGAGAGCTTTGACCAGAGCATGTATCAGCAGTTGCAGTAACATCTCTGCAGAATGGATAAGAGCTCATGTGTTTCTCCAGCCTTCAGGTTTTAGCTGCTGGCTGCAGGGTAATACTTTATCTGACTAAAGTCTTCCTAGTCAAAGTCCATTCAATTGTTCTTTTATATCGTGTTGAGGAGACTTGAGCCACCCCTATGAATTCATATCAGGCAGCAGTTTGTCACGTGGCCTCAGCGGTTGTTTTGGTCTGGGAGAGCTGGAGCCCAGTCTGCATTGCCGAGCCCTTCCTGATGCCAACAGGCAGGTGTATGGAACGTGGAGACTGCAGCTGGGCTCTCTGGCACCCTCCCTGTGTCACTGCTCCTCCCAGGCAGCTGCAGGACTGGGAAGAGGCTGAGGAAGCCCCTTGGTCGCAGCCCCTGCAGGAGGAGCATCCATCGCTTCTCTGTGTTCAGTGGCATTTGGAGCAGACCCGAAATTGTGCAGGGGGATCATATTTCTGGTAGGGATATGTCTTTCTCCTTCCCCATTCAGGCCCAGGAGAGCTCAGCCTGTTCTGAGCCTTCAGAATTCATTTTGTTTGTGTTCACAGGGACTTTGCTATCCTTATTGGACAACAACCTGGAGATTGCTCTGCACCGGGCCTGCTCTGGCTGTGGGCGAGGAGGCTCTTCTGTGCAATTGCTTCTCTCTGTTGTGTGTGCTGGAGTTGTGGTTAGGAAGATGGAGGTAGTTTTAACCTAAAAATAATTTTTAAAAAGTATAGATAGATTTTTTTTTTTTTAATATATATAAACGAAATGTAATGAAAAAGGTATGGGAGAACAGCTTTAGAAAGTCTCCAGAATGAAGCAGTTGAAAGCCAGCAGTGGCTGTGTGGCCTCAGCTGGGGCCCTGGTGGCAGGTCAGATGCTGTTCCCTTTGCTGGACCCTCTCTGCTTTCTGGCATGCAGATGACCCGCTCTGGCAGCGAACTGGGGCTTCAGAACAAAGGAGCTGCTCTGCAGGCTCCTGCTGGCTTCTGCAGAGGTGACGAGGGGTGCAGCAGAGGAGGCAGGAGGGCCATTAGGTCACATTAACCAGCTTTCCCACAAGTGACCAATAACACTGCAGAGCTTTTCTGGGGCCTGACTTCAGAGCTGAAGCAAGGGGAGCTCCTGCACGAACACACCATGTTCTATCTGCTCCTGCCTGGAAAGGTCAAGCTCTTCCTCAAGACGCCTACGTCTGTTCCACCAGCCCTGCTTACCAGATGTGTGCGGGGTGTGTAGGATACAGCTCCCTGAAGTTGCAAGGCTGTTGTGAGAAGAAGCTCATTAGTAGCTCTGAACTCTGAAATACGTAGATGCTTATGGATGTTGTAGCAGCAGTTTAGCAGAGAAATCCACAGGGAGATTAAATGTACTGTCTTCAAACAGAACTGAAGAGTAGATATGTAAGCATGTGTGTAAGTTTTCCACTGAAAAAATGGGGGTAAAGCAGTGATCACACACATGCTTTTCCTTCAGAGCAGAGGCTTGTACGTAAACACTTGGTTGAGTAAACATTTAGCATCTGACATGCACCCAAAGAAATAATGTTGAAGTTTCCCATGCTTACTTCTGCAGTCTTTGTCTTCTAGCATAATTGTCTGTGAGTAAATGAGATATTAAAGTGGTGTGAGATGTTTTCATGGATCAGTAACCCATTGGAAGGCAGAAGAATAACAGGTAGAAATAAATTCTGTGTTTTCAGAAGGAGGATTGTCTGCTGATCCTGCAGGAACGTAAGCTGGGCTTTGGGCCCGTACAAGGAGGCAAGTGAGCTGGCAGCTTGATGTCAGTACAAAAATTATTCAGAACAGTAAAAAATAAAGGTGCAGGGGGATCTTGGAAGAGGTGAGTAACTGAGCAATCAAGCAGCAAAGAAATTGTGTCAACAAAAGCGAAGCATTGCACGAGGGAGATGCCCCTAACTGCACGTGCAGTGGCAGGCTCCTACATCGCTGTTTCGGGGAGGGACAGACAATTGTACAGCCTGCAGATGGGTTTCCAGAAGTGTATCCGTGGCGCTGGGAAGTAGTCAGAAATCAGAGGCCTGGGAGCTTGTAGAAAAGGGACAGAGAGCAAAGCAGCACTCGGCCATAGTTGTGCTGTGCCAGCTCTGCACGTCCTGCCCGTGGTCCCTGCAGGGCTCGTGACTGTAGCAAGGGAAGCACCAGAGGAGAGGGAACAAGGCCAGTGGGCTGGAACAAACTGCAGGTTGCCTGGGGAAAGTAAGAGGAAGAAAATTTGTCATCGTTTGTCATAGCAGAAGAAATGGAAACCACCTGGTTTTGTTGTGGGGCTGCAGGCTTAAGAGCTCTCTGTGCTGAACCACATTAAATCATTAGAGAGTCAGTAAAGCAGGGTGTTGAGCAGGTTAGGAGTGTAGCCGGGTTTAGGAATGAAAGGACAAATTCAAAGAGGTGAGGTCTGTCATTTGATGGTTAGTGGTCCAGGTGCAGCACTGCCTCAGGGCATCTCCCACCTGCTGTTAGCCAGGAGATTTTTCAAGGGGAATACTCATTTTTCAGACATCCTGTGTCTGTTTCTTACCCTCCTGGTGGCAGATGCAGGCTGCTGACTCAGGTGCCCTTTGGGCTGATGAAGCCTGTCATTTCCCATGTAAGGAATGGTGATGGAGCAGCATTGCTGGGGTGCAGAAAGCGTAGTGGTGTGAGGACAAAGGCTAAACTGTTGCTGTGAAATGGGGCTGCTGGGCAGATCTGAGCCAGGAGGGCAGCCCCGAGCAAAGCCCAGCTGAGCCATTCAGGAGGCACCCACCCCTGTGCTAAAGGGCATAGCAACACAGGGCCCTGGTCTGAGACCCTGCTCTGACTGTGCCAGGCTGAGAACTGTGAGAGGACATGGCAGGTCAGAGAAGTACTGAGACAACAGCTTCAGCTGTGCTAAAATACATTTCCCATGTCTGGGTTCTGAATCCACATTGTTTGCTGCATTTTTGAAGACATTTTTTGGCAGGAGAGTGTTCAGTTCTGTTCCGGAAGGTATGTTCCTGTATGTGCCCTGCCTGGAGTTTTACTTGTTATAAAAGGAGAAGTTCTTTAATAAGCTCTTTGCATGTCTTTCTAGGCCAGCACATGGAAAAATATTTTCCTTTGCAAACTATTTTTCACTGTGTGGGTTGTTAGTGGTCTTCTGTTCCTGAGCTCCTGGGGCTACAGTGATACCACAGGAAATAACAGATCAGCTTGGATTTCACAGATTCATGATGTGCTCAGAGAAGTGGAATTGCCTTCAGTGTTAGCGTTTCCAGCCCATGCAGGCAAAGCTGCCCATCCCTGGGGGGGGGTGAGCTGTGGAGCAGGGGGAGTACCTGGCCCACTAGTTAAGAGAGCTGACAGTGCATGGTGAGCTACATGACAGGAGTCAGTCTCTAGCTGAGCTTTTTAAAAGCACCAGGTGGTTGAGTCAAGTCGCTGGTTTGGAAAAGTGGAGGCTAAAGCTAAATTCTGCTCCTCTCCCTCGTGTTTCTCTTGGCAGCTGGCTGCTTGCCCATCCCAGGGCAGGTGGCTTCTGCTGCAGAGCAGGGAGGCCACACGCTGCTCGTAAGGTGTGAGCCCCCATGGGAGCTGTTTGTTCTCTGCCTGCTGTGGCAGAGTGCCAGTTGTCCTGGTCTTTGGGGCTCCCTCTACTTTTTAGGTGATTCAGGTCCATGGGCAGTAGCAGGTCTAGCCCCTGGCACACAAAGCTAGTGTAGTTTTCAGTTTATTTGTGTGAAATTTGGTTGTCTCCATGCTGGCAGTCCTCTCTGAGTCAGAGGCTACAGCTTGGTCATTGGTAGGAGAAGGACACCTCACTGCAGGAAGTGCAGGATGTAGGTTTCAGGCCTTTTCTATGATGAGGGAGCTTTCTGGGAAAGCACGAAAGAGCCTTCAAGCAACTGTGACTGGCTGCTGCCCACACGTCAGCATGCAAGTTCTTCAAGGCAACCAGTTCGTCTACAAACCTGTTTACACTCTTAGGGTGATTATGGGTTTCATGGTCTAATTACAGTGGGAGAAAACATTTCCTATTATTAGCTCTGGATGTGCTGCCTCTTGTGTAATTGTTGTGAGGCTGAGACACAGTTCAGTCTCTTTCCCAGTCCCTCCTCCATGACCTGGATGACACTTTCCATTGGAGTGTGTCTGTACACTTTAATGGCAGAAGCCGTAGCCTGAAATGGAGAAACAGTTCATTGGTTTTGTTTTCTTTAATCCTTAGACCTTTCCAGTATAATTCATGCCTGAGGTAAGTAGGAGTTTTGCATACAGGGACTATTTTGCTTTAGATATTCTTGAGAGAAATTCTTAAAACTGACTTTCCTTCCCATAGCCCATGGGAGGGGGCGATGCTGTTGTACCTCCTTGGGCATTGCTCCAGTGTTACAGGGAGGCTCTGCTCTGGCTCTCAACGAGACTGGTCAAGGCAGAGGGTGCTCGTTTCATTGTGAGGAGCCAAAGACGGTGGTATGTCTCTTGGCTGGGAGAAGAATGGAAGAAAACTCATCTTTCACCTTTGTGAATTGTTGCTCTGTTTGGGAAGAGCTTGTCCTCCCTCTGTATTGAGAGGATTTGAGGAACTCCAGGCTCCTGACCAGCTTATCTAAACCGTAGGGTGCGTGAAGACTGACCTGAACTATGCAGCATCTTACCAGAATGTAGATATTAAAAGCCACAAGTATTTTGAACTCTGCTGTAAGCTTTGAGCCTGGCAAGGAATCAAGTAGGGCAGATTATTCACTGCTTTCAGCAAGCAATTTGGGTTTGACTAGAAAAAGAACAAAAGGCCAATGGTTTTGGAAAAACTCTCCCAGCAATCAGTGCTCTGTCAGTGCAAACACTTCGCTTGGTGTCATAGGGGGAGTAGCTCTCTGGATCCTGTCTCTGCTCGCTCTCAAAGCTCACTGAAGTGAATGCAACTGGAGCAGCCATTCTTGTGGAGGACTGCAGCTTCTGTGGTGAAGTTCTCCAGCTTTGGTTTGTCTGATTTTACTTGTATTGCAGAGCACTTCCAAGCCTCATGGTACAAGGCTGGGTTGGAGGAGGCTGCAGGCAGGAGAGTGAGGAAGCCTTCTGCAGGGCTTTGGGAAGATGAAACACCCTGCCACCTTCCTGCATTCTGATCTCACTCTGGGTGCTGGGGCTGCCTCTCTGGCCCCACACACCTTTCTCTGCTGCCTCCTTTCTCACTAGCCCAGGACTGCAGTTCTTGAATCATAAACGATTTGTTTAAACCCTTGAGTTTTTTCCTGGCAGGAAAAAACTGGCTCTGCGTGCTCTGTGGCTGAGATTTGGCAACACGTAAATGCCCAGCCCCCTGTCTGTGCTTCAGTCGTGCCGCCGGGAGCGCGGAGTCGGGCTCACATGGGTGCCCGGGCTGTGAACAGTGAACGGGTGCCTTGTGCTCAGTCGGGGAGGGCCAGGCTGCCTGTGTGAGAGGTGGGGATATGCAGGAGTGGGGCTGGGAGGTGCAGAGCTACAGGCCTTGACTCAGAAGATGAATCCCCCCAAGCCCAAGCAGTGACTTGCACTGACAGTGCCTGCCACGGGCTGCAGGGCCGGGGGGATTTGGGGCGCTCGGTGTGAGGTTTCGTCAGTCCCTCTGCCCTGTCTGCACAACAGGCTGCACAGGAGGGGGTTTGTTTGTACTGCTCTGAGCTGCTGCCTGTGCACTCTGACGGGCTCCGGTGTGGTGGGTGCACAGCGCTGGAGGCTGATGGCTCCATTCTCCATTCTGCCAGGTCTGCCCATCAGCACCTATGCCAAGTACTGCTACCGGAAACTCCAGAAAGTAGCCGTCACCGGAGGCAAAAAGGTGAGTGGCTGCCTGCACAGCATCCTGCCTCCTGGGTCCCAGAGCCCTTGGTCCTGGACTCAGAGGTCACCGCTGAACCAGTGATGGGAAATGGAGGTAGAGCAGGTGGGGGAGGCTTGCTCAGGGCTCATCTCCCCATGGACGAGTGGGAGAAGGCTGCTGCCCAGATGCCACCATCCTCCAGGCAGACGGCAGTGCCTACTGTGCTGACAGTTCCACCCTGGCTGCTCCTGGCCTTAGGAACGTGTGGGACAAAACTGCTGTTTACCAGTCTCCAGGGTAAGAGGAGCTGCCTGTGCAAGGAATGCCCATCATTTGGTTTCTTCAGGTGGGGGAAGAGTCTTCCTTTGCCGCTGAGAGCTTGCATGGACCAGGTCTTGCAGCTGGTTTACTGCAGAGTTCTTTGTTCCCAGTTCAAAAAGTCACGCAGCGGAGGTGGCTGGCACAGAGGGGAGCCTCTGTGCTCTGCATGACCTGGAAATCCCCCTCCTTCCTTTCCTCCGCACGGTTTGGTGCGGGGCTGTGAATGCAGGCAGGCGGCCTCAGCCTGTCTGTTCTAGGTTTCCAAGCCAGATCCGGTCTTCTTTTATTTCTGCAAATCCCTCTGGGGCCTCCCTGCCATCTGGACTCCATGCACAGCGAGCAAATAGCTGAAATATCAGGAGGGGCAACAGCTCCCGGCATCCCTGCAGGGCGAGATCAGAAGTGCCAGGGCAGGCAGCACACACAGCCCTCCGAGGGGTGGGCAGGAGCCTTCCCCTGGCATGCCTCCTGCTCAACAGTGTGGTCATGCCAAGCTGAACAGCCTGTCTCCACTGTGACAGCGTTCCTGCATTCCTCCAAAGACCTGCCAGGGGAGATTCAAAGCCCTTTTCAAATGTTTGGTGTATTTTAGAAGCAACAGGTCTCAGTGCCCACTGTTCAGAAGCTTTATCGAAGCTTTCCTTGGAGTTGGACATACCTGGAATTTCCCACCCCAAAGGGAGAATTTCACCTGTCATGTGGCCAAACACTTGCCCAACACCCAGCCAGTGTACATGTGCCCTCTGCTGACCGCTCCATCGCCAGGGACAGGCTCCAATCTTCCTCCTGCTGCACCAGCAGGTAGAGCTGCAGCTGGAGCAGTCCTCCCAGTGTGCAAAACATGGCAACAGAATCCCTTCAAAACCAGCCCCAACTCTCCAAAGCAGTCTCCTGTCAAGAGGCAGCAGCCTCTTTGCTCCTATTGGCCCTGACGAGTTGCACCACCCCCCACCCTTTCCTTGATTTTAGGAGGTGGATGCTGCAGAGTGAGAACTGTGCTGCCAGGGTGCCAGCAAGCTGTCCATGGGCATGAGCAGCCCTCTCCATCCTGGCCACTCACCACCACTGTCCCCAGGTTGCTGTTTCTCTGTGCCACAGCTGCACTGAGCTCTTCTCTGTCCTCAGGGGCTCCGTAAGCCCACGGTGGAGGAGATAGCGCACGCCAGGAACGCCATCGTGACTCCGTCGCTCTTCGGCAGCTCCCTGGAGGAGATCATGCTGCGGCAGCAGGACGTGCACCCGGGCAACAAGCTGCCCTGGGTGCAGACGCAGCTTTCGCAGCAGGTCCTGGCCCTGGGAGGAGAACAGACAGAGGGGATTTTCAGGTGAGCTTTTGGGTCGCTGTGTAACTTTTGAGTCACCCACATGTTAGTCCTCAAAGCTGAGAAGTCAGGACTGACCTCCACACATTTCCTCTTCCCTGAGAACAGCATTCTGCTGCAGATCAGACAAAATGGGACTTGTCCCAGGTTCAGGAGTCGCCTCTTTAAGTAGCATTAGCCCATTTGCATGCCTTGGCACAGAGGGAACAACACAGATGTGACTTGAACTACTTAGGACAGCACATACACAGGCAGTGCATTGAACTTTCATCAAAAAGTAGTAGGAGTAGTAGTTGGCCAGTGCAGGGAAGGAATGAGCTCTTGGATGCCTGGCAGAGCAGTTCACCAAATGCAGCACATCAGCCTTGATGATGCCAAAGAAATGAGGAGTGAAGAGAGACAAGGAATCTGTATGGTGAGCATAAAGGATTCTGGTTTGGGCTTTAGTTTGGGATTTTTTTTCCTTTTATTTAAGACTTGTGTTAGTTTTTCAGTACTAAACTTGATTTAAGGTAGCTAGCAAAAGGTTCAACTTTGCCTTGTAGGGTTTCTAGTATCTTGCTGTATCTATTCAGAGATGCTGCTTTTCTTTGGCCTGAACGTGCTGCAGAGAGGCCTCATTATAGAAAATAATCACTCCTGTGGAATGAACAACAGTTGATGTCTGAGCTAGTGGAAGGGAGACAGGTGTTTCTTCTACCCCCACTTTAAAGCTGTGTTTAAAGCCAGACAACTTGTTCTCTCTGAGTAACTGCTTCTGTAGCTGCCACTGGTGTGTTCTCCCTTCTCCCTGGGGCTCCAGAAGCAGCTTCGGAGCGGTGGTTTGCTGGCCAGCTGCCACACCAGGCATGTTGCCCTGCTTGCTCTCTAAAGCAGCTTTGCTGTGTCTCTGTTTGCAGAATACCTGGTGACATAGATGAAGTCAATGCATTGAAGTTGCAGGTCGATCAATGGAGAATCCCAAACAGCCTCAGTGACCCCAACATCCCAGGTACGGGAGCGCAGCAGGCGTGTGCTGTGCCTCAGCTGTGGTGCAGTGCAGGGGAGAGGCTGCAGGAGCAGCCTGGGAGGTGTGCTGCTGCCTGGGGACACATACACGGGCTGTCTTCACCAACAGGGTTTTCATTCCGTGCCTTTCCACTGCCTTTCCAAATACTCTCCATAGAATAAGCCCCGGGGGGTGGTGGGGTAGCCTCTATGTCCAGCTGGCTCTGGAGCAGTGAGACTGTGCAAGCTGGGCAGGGAGCACACAGCAGGCTGGGAGTCATTCAGGAGCAACGTTCTAGCTCCAGGGTGTCATTGGCCTCTCCTTTGGGTGGCCCCAGAGCCACTTCCTCGAGGAGCAGGTCGGTAAAAGCCAGTGTTGCCCTCTAACTGGCCAGTTTGGCTGCCTGAGAATTTCAGAGCCCAGACTGAAATGAGGTTAAACATCACAAGTGCAGAATCCCTTCTCTGCCCTCGGCTTCCTGAGGCATTGAGTCTTACTCCCTCTGAAGGTGGTGGGGAGGTAACCAGAGCTGTTCTCATGCACCCTGCTTTCTGCCCAGCCTCTCTTCTCAAGCTCTGGTACCGAGAGCTGGAGGAGCCTGTGATCCCCCAGCAGTTCTACAAGGAGTGTATCAGCAACTATGAGAACCCTGATGCCGCTGTGGCTGTGGTGCAGCTTTTGCCAGAGCTCAACAGACTGGTGCTGTGTTACCTCATACACTTCCTGCAGGTAGGCAACCCCCACAGCCCTGCACCCCACTGCTGGCCAGCATGTGGAATATGGCTAGTGGGACAGCTGTTGTGGGCCATCAGCAGGGCTTTAGCACCTCTCACCTTTACTTAAGGTGAGATTGGTGGAGAGGGGTCTGCTGGCCTTGTCTCTTATGGGAGCAATAAACTGTGTTCTTGATCTTGTAGAGCATGGGGCTGGTCCCAAAGGTCGAGGTCTGCAAGATGTTCCCTGTCTGCTGAGGCTTTGAGGTGCTGGGGTTTAAACCCAGTGTTGAATCAGGGTTGACATATGGGCAATGTCCACAACCAGGCAAGAAAGACCCTCCTGATTGGTTTTCACCCATGGTCTGGCCAGCCTTGGGTGGGAACCAATTAGATGATCACCACCAAGTGCCCTGCCTCTGGCATTAACATCAGGAGTCCCACCTCCAAGTTAACAGCATAAAAGCTGGTTCTGCCTGCAGTGGTTTGAGAGGGAAGTTTACCTATGCAGTGAATGTACTGTGTAAGATTGACAGTTACAGGCAGGGCCCCCCAAGTGCCTGTTGTAGGCAGAGCCCCTAATGGTGGCAGGACATGAGTATGGCTGGGGTCAAAGGAAGGAATATCTCTATCTACAGTGGTGACATCCTTCTATGGTCCCAGCCACACAATTGGACTTGGACTGGTTGCCTGGGTCCTGGGTTGATTCGCTCCTGTCTCCACGGTGTCTTGCACTGTGAGCATATGTATAAACCTTTCTATTTCTCCAGCGGTTGGTCACCTCAGATCCCTCATATGATTTAAAACTGGGGGGAGGGATCTGGCTTGAGTGCTGTCTGTTAATTCTATCCCAAAAGGAAGGATATGCAGTCAGCAAAAGAGGCTCCCATGCTGTCAGCTATGTCAGAGCATAGTGGTCTTCCCTTCTGAAGGTGTGGCTGTTGGGCGTTGTCCTTCAGTGGGGCCGTATCTCTGCTCTCCTTGCACCTCTTCTTAGGCCACGGGTTTGGAGTCTCTTGCCCTTTTCCACTGCACTGGCTGAATGTCTTCTTATCATCTGCAGATCTTTGCTCAGCCGTCAAACGTGGGCAGAACGAAGATGGATGTGAATAACCTGGCCATGGTGATGGCCCCCAACTGCCTGCGCTGCCAGTCCGACGACCCTCGTGTCATCTTCGAGAACACGCGCAAGGAGATGTCCTTCCTGCGCATGCTGATAGTGCACCTGGACACGAGCTGCATCAAAGGGCTGGTGTGAGCTGCTGGCCCTGGGGCCCCCAACATTGCTCTGGGGTGTCGCTGGGTGTCCGCTTAGGTCTCTTCCATTGTCCTTGCTGTTGTCACACCCTGAGTTAGCCCTTGAACATCTCCTAGCATCTGACCTCAAGGACAAGGACTAAACACTCCCGGAAGGCTCGGGCTGTTCAGCACCATTAAGTCCTTGGACATGCCAGGCCAGATTCAGTGTTTGCTGGCCTTCCAGTGTGTATCAGAGGGGGGCAGCCCTCCTCCTTGGAGCTGCAGGACTGGTTGCTCATGGAAGGGGCTGTGGCATCTGTGAGAAACTGCTTCCTGGGATGGTGAGACTCTCCATCTCCCTTCTGGAGGCAGAACTGGGTTCAGGTAGGAGGATGTCACTCCTGTATTGTGGCATGAGCTGGTCCTGGGGGAGATGCTGCCTCATTGGTGATAATGCCACTGCTGTAGAGCCAGCCTGGTTCACCTCTGTGGACTGTTGGTTGATGGCATGAGGGTTCTTCTGACACCCCATGGTGCTGTGGGTCGAGGGCTGTGAAGGTGTGGGGCACTCGCTGAGGCAGAGGGGTTCCTTGGACTGCTCTGGTCAGTGGAAGCATGCTGCAGCCCAGTGAGAGGTCATGTTTGAGCTTCTGCTGCTTGTGGCTGGATAGGCAGATATCCCACGGCAGGGAGCACTGGCAGGCTTGGTACACACACCATCCACCTCCCAACTTTAGAGCTGCACAGCAGCATGTGGTCAGCACCTGGGACCAGCCCTGTGCTGAGCCAGACCAGCACCCACCCACACCATGGGGTCTGGGACAAGAGGGTGGTCATGGCCCTGATAACAGATGGATCAACGACTTATTTGGCATCCTCCTAACGAGGGCCAGATCCTCTGGAGGGTTAACCCCAGCAGCCCCACAGCCCTGTTTTGCTACAGGCAGCGCGAGCTGACACCGGCTGTCCTGAAGAGCATCTGAGACTGTGCTCAGAGCAGCCTCCACAGCTCCAGCACTCGCTCTTCCTGGTACCTGTCCCTCTCTGCCAGGGACTCAACACCCGTTTTGCCCACCCTCCTGGTTCAAGCCATCTCTAAAGAAAGCTAGGAAGGTCTCCAACAGTAAGAAGTGCTTCTCTGCTTGGAGGTGCCCTTCAGGCAGAGCAGCAGCATTGCTGCGTGCTCGTGAAATGCTGGTGCTGCCTGGCGTCAACTGTGGCACCTCTGCTTTTCCCACCAAATTCCCATGGGAGTTGCAAAGAGGTTGAGAAGGGGAAGGAAAGATGAGGGAAGGGGCAGGTCTGAACATCTGAGGTGTGATGGAGCCTGTGTAGGGTTGATGTCAGGTGGGCAGCTAAACCCCTGCACCTTTCTCTGTGCCACCAGAAGCGAGGCACAGCCAGGACAGTGTCTTTCAGAGGCAGCACGTGGATTTCCCAGCAGTCTCTGGGGACTCCTGCGTGTTCCGGGGCAAGTGGCGATTTCTGATTCTGTGGCATCCTGATCTTACTCTTCCTTTGGAAGTGTTTGCTGGGGGCAGGTCTGCTGCAGAAACCCATGTGTGGATTACTCATGCAATACTAAGTCTGCCAGGAACACCCAAGGGTGCATTTTCATTTTTGCATCCCCTTCCCTTTCAAGTGGGGACCTGGCACCATCCTCTGCTGGTTGCAGGGGGGAGCCAAGTCCTGCCAGCACTGAGGCTTAAAGCTGATGTCTGGATCTGTACCAGAAGCTTGGGCATAAGGTGCCACGTGCAGCACGTGCCCCGAGGCTGCTGCGTGGCTCTCGGGGTGTGGTCAGGGCCTTTCCAGGGCGGGCGTTCGCTCGGATGAACCGCGCAGCAGGAGTTCAGTTTGTGCCCAGCTGAGCAAGGGTCCTGGTTCCTCTCCATACAGCAGATGCTTTTGTGGTCCAGGGGGCTAGAAAGTCTTGCTCCCATGTCACAATTAACTGTCAAACATGTCCCCAAATGTGTGCCGGGATCTGTTTCACATGTCCAGACCAGTGCTTTGAAGCCATACAGCTCAGTTTGGTTTCCTGAAGCACCGAACAACTTGTACTTTGGATGCAGGGCTCCTTTCCCAGACACACTGAGACAGGCAGAAGGTTACCTGAAATCATGGCACTGGCTCGGGGTGCCACGTTCTGCCCCTTGTGGGCTGGAGCAGCCGAGTAGTACCTGCCCCTCACAGGGCTGCAGCTGCGTGTGCCTCTGCCTGCAGCCAGCCAGCGCATCGGTGAGTCGGCTTGCTCCTTGCACTTAGCTGTAGCAGTCAGTCTAAGCATAGGCATCTGCTGCTCTTACAAATCAATGCTTCTTGCCAGGGCTGTAAAATAGGCTAATAAAGGACACTGGATATTATTTTCTTTGCCAACAGATTTGTAGATACAAATCAGTTAAGCAGGCTCTCCTCTGTTATAATAATAAATACAATGTCCAGGTTTGTCTCATCTCTTTTTTGTGAATTTCTGAAGCGTGATCATGTCTGCCTGGAGCTGCAGCTTTCAGCCTGTATGTCAGTATTCATGAATAATGTTTGGGAATCAGTACGACCTAATCACTTGGAAACCAAGCCGTGGGCTGTTCTTAACACTCATGAAGCTACTAAGGGACACTCAGTGGAACTTTGAAGGGAACACGTTGAAGCAACAAGACAATATGCCTGTACGTGGGATCTTCTGGAGGCTTTCACAGTCAAAAAGGGATTAGAGAAGTTTATGGACGATAGCTGCACGACTGGGCAGTCAAAAGATAAGGATGCACCACTGATGTCCCCACCCAGCAGCTGTGGGTGCTGCAGGTGGGCTACAGAAGGTGGCCACAGATGTGCTCCCCTGTGTGGTCTCTGCTGTTGGAGGTGTGGCTGGGCAGGCTGGCAGCCGGCCCCACCGGCGCATTTTTATGTTCAGACTGGATGATTCTCTGATCCTTCCTCCATGCCCACTCCAAGGAGCAGCTGGGAACTGCAGGTGTTGGTGCTCCAGGTTTGCACTGGTTGCACTCCGGTGGGGCTGCAGCGCACGTGCCAGCTGTGCTGCTTCACCCTGCAGTGAGGAGTTACTGCCCTGGGTCTGGCCGGGGCTGCTGCTGCTCAGGGGGTGGCCACTGTCCTGGCAGCGCTGGGGAAGCGTGGTGCACTTCAGGCAAGGCTGGTAAGGGCTGCTTGGTTGCACCAGCAGTTTTAGGACCACCGGTGTTGGCCAGACAGATGGTTCTTCAGCTGAGCCTTGCTTGCAGGAGGATGGTAGGTGGTCTGTAGCAATAACAGATGAGAGCAGAAGGAAGACCAACAGCATCGTAATCTCATGCTGCCCTTTCCTAGGTCTATGTCTGCAGCCTGGTGTCGAAGTGTTGCTTTGCTGTGAAACAAGCTGGTTTTTGCCAAATCAGAAAAGCCCACAAATCAAGTGCTTCAGCTCAGTCTCAGGGACTTGGGCTCACTCCTGCAGTCACCTGGCCCTGATACCTGGATCACTTCAAAAATCAATGGCCAGAGTGGCAGCTGGGCTGAGCTTGTGGCTTGTTCTCAGCTTCCCCCTGCAGCATAGCGAGACCCTGTAGCAGGGGGCAGCTTGGGACACAGCTCGCTTGTCTTTTGCTCATTCAGAGAGGAGGCACCTGCAGCTTGTCTGAGACTTGCCACCGGTCCAGGTAGGGTACCCAAAGGGTAAAACGTCCCAGTAGGGCCAGCACCCTTTTGCTGGAAGGTCTTGCTGGTGCTGTTGAATTTATGGCTCATTTAAGTCTCTTTAACAGAGCCTGGTGCGAGCCCTTTGCTGTCTCTGTGATGATGCCCTGGGAATCTGTAAACAAAACTGGTAAAAGCAATTCTCCCAGCTACTGACTGCAGCTGATAGATGCCACGCCCTCAGGTCTGCTGTGCACACTCCACCCCAGCTCCTGAAGAAGCTTGGCAGCTGTTTGGGGATCATGGGTGGATTGTGGACCTCCTTTTAGGTTCAGCTTGAGATGGAGGAAGGTAGGATTCAGCTCTGGGAGCTGCCTGGTGTTATTACAGGATGTGATAATCACGAGGTCACCCATCCTGCTCACCTGCCAGCCCTCATGGTAGAGAAGCTTCCCGCAGTTTCTCCTCCCCTTGCAAATGTGAAGGGTCTCCTTCCTCCTGCCCACCAGAGATACTCCGTTTCTTCTCAAGCAAGAAGTGTCCAGAAGTCGTGCTGGCCTTCCAAGAGCCCAGGGCAGTGTGAGGGCAGCTTTTAGCCTAATCCCCATGTAGGATTTTAGCCTCACCTTTGTGTTGAGCGTTGCACTAACTCAGCTCTGTGGGCGACAGCACAGAGGAACAGGCAGGTCTGTGTCAGGAGCCCTGCAGCACCCGAGGGAGGCAGACAGGCACGGGAGGGTCCACGTCCTGGCGCTGCCCTACTGCAGGTTTGATGTGGGCGCAGCAAAGCACTTGTGGATTCAGCAGAACTGGCTGCTGGAGACAGCACTGAGCTGGGACTCCGCAGGGCAGGGCCCAGGCTCCGGCACACCCATAGACTGTCTGTGGGACAACCATCAGTGATAAGATGGAGCAAGCTGATGTAGATGCTGAGCACTGCTGCTTTTAGAGAACCTGTTGTCCTATAGCATTTGTCATCCACACTTAATGGTGGAGAGAACTGGGTGTGGGTGCAGGCAGCTGGGGAACCATCCCAGGCATGAAGAGAGGACAACAAGGAAAAGCCCAGGCTTTCAAGAGCCCACATGTGGACCCCACTGGAGTTGAGTGCTTCCAGGCAGTCATGCAAGAGAACTTTTTGCATCGAGACACTCAGCAGCTGGACTTTTCCTTCCAAAGCAGCCCACTCAGCCTGCAGAAGTTTGAACCCGCATCTCTTTAGGGGATTCTTCTGGCCCAGCCTCCACCTGAGGCATCCTCTGTCTCACCATCAAAGCCATCCCACTTTGCCTGCAGCTCTTGGTGTTTACCGGTACTGTAAAAGGGAGCTTGTGTCTGAGGACTGAGGACTTGAGGACTGTGCAACCCCAGCTGTCAAAGCTGGGT